ATGGAACTACAATTACAATTCTCTCTACTCTCTGATCGAATCGGCACCGGAATTTCTTTCTCTGGCATGGAACGACGTACCTCTCTTAACTGTATCTTCCTGGCGTTGATCGATTGCCTATAATTTTTCTTCTTCTTCTTCTTCTTCTTCTTTTCGTTGTTGGTGAAAATCAGTGTCGATCAGCCAGGTCTTTTTCACTGGTATGGTATGATACTGAAAACGAAAGCGAAACAAATATCAAATTGCAGTATGGATGACGCCATTGATACACATTTTCAAAAGCTCTTCTGTTCAAAATCTGGAAAAGAAACCACTCCCTCTTTATATATATATTTTTTATTTCAAACCATAATTTGTCGCAATCACGAGGATTAACCAGTGGGCGCCATTGCGGACCTCTTCACAAACCCATTTTCGGGTTTGAATATTTGCTTCCTATTTTTTTTGTAATTCTCCTCCCCATTTAATATGTATATTTTAATTACTAAATGAATCAATTATAAAATAATAATAATAATTAGGCTAGGTACCAAAAACTATTAACTTTGTATATATTTTTTAATGTAATAAAATAGAATATAGTACATATGGACCATTGGCTCCCCACTTCGTTCTTGCGTTGTGAATCACAGTAATGTTTATCCGTCGACTTTTTTTTTTATTATTATTATTATTTATTTATAATATAACTTTCATTTCTTTTATAATCACTATTATTTAGGTAAAATATATTTCATCCTTAGACTATATTTTAGATTTGTGTGAGTCACTATTGTTTTTTTTCTAATTATGCAAATAACAACAAGGAAAGGTGCAAAAACAAACTCGGGAGAGAAAAAAATAATTACAACTAGCTCGAGCATACTGGTTTTAGTTAAAACATTATAATGTCGTTTATCGACTAAAATATCAAAAGTTATCATATATCTTTTACGTATTGTTAAAATAAAAAAGAATAAAAACAAATAAAGATGGATTGCACGTTCAACATAATCATAATCACATCAAAATATCTTGAACAAGCAAATTAATTTACAAAGATACGAATTTAATTAATTATGATGAATTTCGAACCTCTTAACATGAATGTAGGTTCATGTCTCTGTCTCAAGACAACTATTTTAACTCGTTCATACGCCATGATTATTTTGTACTACATCTAGAGATAGTCTATTGAGCTAAGTTATAGTCATAATGATGGAAAGCTTACAAATTTAATAGATTTTTCATCAATATACGTAAGTGAAGATTCAAACTTTTAATTTTATGATCGATGATATATGTTTTAACAAATTAAACTATATCTAAATGAATAATTAATCGTAATAACTATATTTGTATATAAATATTGAGTACTTTACGTCTTACTTGACAATGTAAGATAACACAACATGTATATATATATATATAAAACTTGAAAGTGGAAGTATAAAATTTTGAATTATTAATATGTTAATTATTGTTATTGTTATGATACTAAGATATTACCAATAAACTTTTTCTGAATAAATAATGTTTATTTTTAATCAAGACATATAATTATAAGCCCACGTCGTTGCGTAAGTCATGTTAGGCCCATTAATTAAATAATTTATTTAAAATATTTGGATGGACTCTAAAGATGGATTATATGACACTCTATAACACATTCCCAAATTCCCAAATTGTTTATTGTCAACTATGGTGGCTAATTATAATATTAGAAATTATAGGGGCTAAAATCTAATTTTCTTTTGTTATGCATTACTTTTCATTCAAATTTTAAATTTCAATTTTCTCCTTAAATATGCTTTAATCAGTTGTCTTCATAGTTTATATATATATAATGTTTTTAGTTTTGATTTAATTAATTAGCAATTTTAATCATTTTGAACAAAACCATTCTATAAATATAAAATTATTGTACAGATTCAAAATAATTTTAATATTTGTAATTATCACAATTTAAAAATTAGGTTTAGCTTTTAAAAAATTATGTACTTAAAAAATGACAGAATTTACCATAAAAAAATAGGTTTTAAGAATTTGTTTTTGTTATTTAAAATTGGCTACAATTTAAAATTTATTACTCAAAGAAGAGAAAGGATAAGAAAACAAATACAAATTTCAAAAAAAAAATAAAATAATAATAATAAATTATTAAATGAGGCTGTAAATTTTCATTTTTATTTTAAAATTAAACATATAAATATTCCGTGCTTATTTGTTTCATTATCTACTTTCTACCAAGTCAAGTTTTGAAAAAAATTTAAAATTAGTTTTGTTTCTTTGGATTATTTGTTTTTTTAAAGGATAAAACCATAATAAATGGTAAGGAATTAAAACATGTATCAACGTATATCACAATATTCTAAAACAATAATTCTACAAAATTTATAAAATAAAAATATATTGATAAATTTAACGACAATATTTGAAATTTTATATTATTTAATACCTATTTTGAAACTGGGATATAATTTTCAAAATTACTATATAAATTAATTTATTGTTTTTTAATTAATTTTATAATGTAAGATTAATTAAAACATCTATTGTTATGGTAAAATAACACATTTCATTCCTAACAAAAAAAAAAAAAATAATAATAATTTCAAACCAACAGTGTACATGTGCTTCATGTTTATATCGACTTTAATATGATTTTAATTATATATTTAAACTTGAAAAGCATTTGAGGTTTCCATATTTACATTTATTATCAAATAAAAATAGATTATATTAATTAATTTTAATGTGTGAAAGCAATATATCAAATTTACAAATCTACCATTAAGATATTTTATAAAAGAGTTCTTTAATTTAGGGCTGCCTCTGCGCTTCCACAAGTCTCCATTGACAAATATTTTTAAAATATTGTGAAAACAAAATTTTATTAAATAATATAAATAAAATAATAATATTATTTGCTCAAATTTTATCGCTCCTTTTGATTAGGTGTGAAATTCCCAACCACCCAATTTCCACGTATTTTTCGCATTTATTGCTCTGCCATATTGATTAATTCAACCACGTCACTCAATATCATCCGTCGATTATTTTTGCCGCTCCTAATCTTAGCCGTCCATTTCATTTTCTCCCTCTTTAAAAGGATAAAATCCTCATCCGCCTTTCATCTTCCTCCATTGCAAACCCTATATTTTCTACGTTTATTTGTTTTGCAGATCTGTCTCCTTCGTCTTCTCTGTCGCCGTTCTGATGGTTGTAGATCGGTAGATCTGGTGGTGATCTACGCGTTGATGGCGGTTTCTTACGGATTCCGCCTCCGGTGATGGTCGTCGGTTGCTTATTTACAGGTTAAGCATCAGATCTGGTTTCTTTTCTTTTCTGTTTATGTTCTGATCGCGATTCTTGGATTGTTCTGTTGTTCTTTTTGTTGGCTTCGTTTGGTATCTGCGACGATCGTTGGATTACCCTTCCTATACGCGCCAATCCAGAGTTTGATTCTTGATTTCGGTATTTTCTTTGATTATTATTGTGCAACAAAAGCCGTTTCGGGCTATTCGAACAGGTATGGAATTTGGTTTGGCGTGGGATGTTTATGGAGCAAGTAACGCTTCGAGTCGTGCTTGGAGATTCCGTTTTTTCGGACGATGAGGCGGTTGGTTGCTGCGGGTCAAGATGATTTCGTCCGATCTGTTCGTCGGTTCAACGTAGCAAAGCTGTGGACCACTGTTCGATGGAACCTATATCTTGTACATAATTGTGAAAGCATCAGAAAAAGTAGATGAGTGATTGTGGATGTAAAAGATATCGGGATTTAGCCTCTTTTTTTTAGGAGGATGAATTCTGGTAGCTCTTTGTCATCCGGCCTTTGCCATGACAGGTGCGCTTGCATGGCAGGCCATTCATAATAAAAAAAGCATGTTTTCGTTTTGAGGGAAGATCGCACGGGGATTGCCCGGGGTCTTCCCTCGCTGGTCTGTTTTCCTCTTGCTCTCTATTTCTCTCCGTTCGTTTCTGCAACTTCAACCGACGGAACCGCTTCTTTGGTCATAGGCTTTGACCTGATCGAACTCGCGACATGCAAAGGTACTCTACCGATTTTTTAATTTGAATTTCAGAACAATCGTGAAATGGTAGTAAAAAAAGAACGAAGTCTTTCATTCATTTTTTTTTATCATTGTTGAATATTCTTGTTTATCTCTAAAAACAGTAGCATTTTCCGGTTGGCATCCGCTTGTTTCCATCCATCCTATATAATCAAATTTTTATTTATGTTTGCACCAATAATAATTAAGCATTTTGGGGATTTGTCAACGACAGTCTTTGCTATAGTGGGGTTTCATCGAATTCAAGCAAAACAATGTTATTACGACGATGTTCCTTCCCCATTCGTATTTCTTCCATTTTATAGTTTCCACTCTGTCTAGCTAAAACAATGTTTCGACATTGTTGTGATATAATTGGGTTTTCTGTTCTCCCCTTACATTAGCTAACTAGTAGTACTTGATCTTTAGGGTAATAGTTGTCACATTTGCTGTATTAGTTATTAGATAGTTATCACATTTGATCTTTAGGGTATACCCAATGTGGGTTTTTTTTACGGTTTGCGTACTGTCAGAACTAGTCATTGTGTTCCCAGCTATTTTATTGTTAGATAGTGATGAAGATGCGTCTAAACGGCACTTGAGTGCATGCAGTTGAAGAATTATTTTGCGATCAATGGAGGCACAACAATCAGCTTGGCTTTATCGTGAATCCTGTCATCATCTCATCCGCTGGTACTTCTTGGATCTTACTTTCATCCATCGTCTCTCTAGTAATCTACTATTTTGTAAGTTATTTTGGAACTTGTTTATAATATTTATTTCTGCTGCGCATGTCGTGAGTTTGTTTAAATTCTCTATTTTGTGTTGAGATTTGTCAGTCACAATATTCTTTTTCTATTTGTCAGTCGCAATGTTCTTTTACTATTTGTCGGTCGAGTCTTACTGTTACTGATTATGCTTCCACTAGGCTTTCTAATTCGTTTTTAGATTTGGTTCTCATAGAGAAATACTCTCTCCAAAAGGCTTCTTGTTAATTTATTTTTCGAGACCATAAGTACTTTTTGGTTTTATTTTTTTAATCTTGTGAAGGACCCCAGGATTCATGTAATGTGTTCTGTTACGAACGCCGTTGGGTATTAATGTGGAAAATGAATTCGTCGTGTATTAATTTCCATCCGATTTATTAGTTTTAGATTTTTCGTCTGGTCTAAACTATCATCTAGGGCGATTGATCCCAAAACGAAAGTTCATCTGCCTGGTTTTTAATTGCGAATTTGAATTGTTTTAAACTTGTTGTATTAATTGGAACTTTATAAATAACTTCTTAATATGTTACTTTTTAAAAAAATATTTTAAATTGTACTTTTTTGTATTGTACTTTATTTCTAAGGTAATTTCGTCTGTTGGTGTTAAATTTATTGTTTGTATTTCCCTTCGTAAAAAAAGTTGCATTTTTCACAAAATTGAGTCTTTTTTTTTTGTTGGTAATTGAATTCTCTATGCTCTGGTAGTTTTTAGTATCAAGTTTTTATTGTTGTAGGTGTGATAATTATATAATTTCACTGCATACTAGGAGTGAGGTGTGATTATATTTTCACAGCGTACTTGGAGTCATCTCTTACTGATTCTTCGTTGTTTAAAAAATTATGCTTTTCGATTTTGGCAAAAAATATCATTGTCCCTAGATCATCTCATTCTCTCTAGACTAATATGGACCCCCGTTTTGAATTTAGCATGTTACTTTCTTGTTTTGATTTTACATACCTTATATGTTTTTGATGTGTGGTTGGGGAGAATTTGATAGTGTCTCTGGGAACATTTTAGGTTCTAAATATAATCGTGTTTAACTTCGAAATTCATCTGAATAAATGGGAGAGCTCAGAGTTTACACGATAATTAAATTTTAATGTTATTTTGAATTAAATTTTTATTCTCAGAGTCTACACTCCCAATGGGGGTGCTCGCTATAGTAGATCTGTAAGCTCAAAGAGGTAGAGCGCTCAATTTCTTCCTAGAATTTGAGAGGTTGATGGTTCGAATCCGTCCAGATCTGGACTATTTTGTGTAATGAAAAGTGAATTGAATATTTGTTAATCATCTTTTCGTTGTGCGTATGTATTTTATTATTATTTTTCATGCCAAGGAAAACTTCTCAATCTTAGTATTTCAGAAAAAGAAAAGGTAGATGATAATCAATATGCTTTAAATTTTAATTGAATAAAAATAAAAACTTTGGTGTGTCTTAAATGTTGAAAACTCAGAATCTTAAATTCCAACTTAGAAGCAGGCTCTGCAGTTCTCTAATATCCACAACTCCGACAAGATTGATCTTCTTCTATACGCTTAAGTTGTCCTTTTATCTTCCCATGTTCAGATTTGGAGTCCGACCTCCTTCGACCCGTGGCGCACCGTAAGTGATTCATGGCTTGCTATGTACTATGTTGTTTGATTTTTGCATTTTAGCACCCATTTTCCATCATTCTACCAAAGACCCATTAAATAATTGGAGATGGCATTTGAGTTTGCAGACTCGAGTAAATACTCCAACAACAAAGGTAAAGAACTTGGAACAACAAGAAAACTCACGATCTAAGATCGAGTGTGGTAAATCACCACACCACCAAGGGAAAAACGTCCAGCTCGAGAGAAGGTAAGAATGCAGGCTGTAAGAAGACAAACCCACTAGGAAACTCACCCCAATGCTCAAAAGGTCTGACACAGCGAAGGATCAGCCCAAGTCCTGTCCTGTCCCTTGAAGGGGAGGATATAGTCTATAGGCCTTGACCCTACATAAATTGGGTATAAGACAAGAAGCCCAAAAATGAGACGGCTCACCACCAAAAAGAAACCCTCGAATAAAGACACGATGATAAGTGTATTAAATTTGTTGGAATTACATGCCGAAACAAAATAGAAATATTATTTATTTATAGAAAAATATTATCAATTTGATAGTATTTTTTAACACAAAATACTTATATATATGATTCTTAGGGTTCTTATTTTTAGAATTTTCATTTTCATCTTAAACAAAATATTATTCACACAACCAATTTTTATTCTTAAGTTGCCACATTAATTTACGACTTCATCCACACACATTAGTCACAATTTCCAAATTTAAGGGTTAAGTAATCTAAGGACACAATTAAAATCAACTCTCGAATTTAGAGATATTTTGTAGAACCAACAGAAATATCCAAGGCTGGAAGCCGATGAAGGGTCCAATACAAAAGTAAATAAAATCTCATATATTAATATTTCTATATTACATTCACAGACTACCTTTTTGCTCTCTGTACGTTGATATATAATTTGTTCAGAGCTCGCTGGAATACAGGCATTCATCTACAAGCTGACGCAAATTTGGATTTTCCATTGCAGCTGCCACTCTTTCTTTATCGTTTAGTTGCTTATTAACTGCTCTTTTTCCCAAACAAGAAAACAAAACAAAGACAAATTTAAAGAGGAAAACATTCTGCATTAGCATCCGCAAGTGGTAACTAAAAGGATATTAAAAACAGAGTAACCTATACATTTAATAGTCCTTTTGTCATTTTTTCTTCTTTTTCATAGAGTTCAATCTTTGATTTCATGGTTTTTTTCTCCAAGGGGTATATTGATCTATTAAAACAGAATGTCTTAATCTCACCTGATTCTTCATTAGCGTGGGATCCTGGAAATACTTTGATGTCAACCTGCAAAATCCATAACCAGACTTAGTGGACGACCTAAACTCGAGGCAGATTCAAAATTGTTTGAGTTGTGATTTTCAAGGTTATTAGAATCCCTAAGGCTATTTCAAGAAGACAAGATTCAAATGGAATAAGTATCATATTTCCATACTCCTGGAAATCTTTCCGATGATGGTGCATTTGCGGGAGTAGGTTTAATAAATTTATTCAGTCTATTTCCATCATATACTCAAATATAACATTAAATGAACATTTAACAAAATTCAAATATAACATTAAAATCCTATATATACAAAGGTTGTGTTTTTAGAATTTTTTTTATGAGATTTGAGATCGTACATTGCAGAAACAAAAAATAAACATAATAGCATATTTTTTCCATTATATTTTATAAATTAATTGTTCATAAAAAATATTTTAAGGTATAACTTGAAAGAAAAGCAAGATAAAGAGACATTCTTTCCAAATAAGTTTTAAAATTAAAAATAATTAGAAAAGAAGTTTGTTTGCCTACAAGAACAGAACACCAGGAAATTGTTTTCAAAATTAATTTGTTTCCAAAATATTCTTTAAACTAAAATAGGTGGGTAGTTTTTTTTTTTTTTTTTTTTTTTTTTTTTTTTTTTTTTTTTTTTTTTGAAAAAGTTAAATTTTCTGTTCTCTAAGTTCTTCCTTAATTTTGTAAATGATTACCGATTAAGTACGATCCAGTAAGAAAAACAATTAAAAAAAACAGTTTATCAAAATATTCCCCAGACAATATCTTAAAAATACAGCCAACGCACTATTATCATGATCGTTTGCTTCAAGAATCTACAAACTTCTCCAAAATTAATTTAATACCCAGCCACAAATCACAAATTTCATCGGCATCTGGTGATTGTAACAAGTATAGTGGAGAACTGAAATCGAACAAACAGTACTCCCAACATTTCAGGACTATTTCAAAGGAAAGGAAAGTACACTGACCTTGTAATTTGGGGGAAAGAAATGTTTAAGTTTCACCCGCAGACAGAGACCAATCACTGTTGCCATGCTACAATGCTGGATAGTCGGAGTGAAGGTTATCCTATATAATAAACACTAATTCAGTAGAGGATTTAGGATACTTTGCTAGAGTATGAATCTTGATAATGTGTTTGTTAGAGCATATAATTATAAATCAATCATTTCAAATTGTTTCTCAAAATCAATGAGGAAGAATAAGCGGAGTTGCTTCGACTCTGCTTACAGGATACGCCCTAGCTTGTCATCGACGGTGATCGATTCCTCCGAGAGAACACTTAGCTGCTCTAACGAATACGGATGTTCCGGATCTCTAATATCCCTCACGAAATGTGTCAAAATTCGAGTCAAGGATAATAAGTTAGCAAATTTACTATCAAGTAACAAATTCCACGAGAAACGAGAAAAGCCAATTTCCTCAAAATAAGCAAAAACTATCCATTCGGTCACTAAGAACTTGCGAAAAAAACTAATTTTCTAATTAGAATTCAGCTTGAAATTTGACCTAAAAAGAAAATAAATGAAGAATTGAAAATCGGTCAAAACACAAACAACTGAGAAAAGGATATCATAGATTTCGAGAGGATCAACGGAGTCGTCACCATGGAGATCCTCGGAGCGAGCGATCCGCTCTTTCTTGGCGTGAACCACGGGGTTCGCATTGATCAGCCCCAGCGTCATCCTTCTTCTTCCTGTGTCCGTGACTGTGCGAACTTTTAATTACGAGTCTAAAATGGTTTAAAGGGCGTAAACACATTGGTCACCGCGGAAGAACGCATCACGGTCCAGTAGGAGAGAAGCACGTATAATGATTTGTTGGAATCTTGGGTTTAATTAATTGGTGACAGAACGGTCAATGAAGGTTCAGAAAAAGGCTAATAATTTAGCCGCCCATTGCTTCTTCTTGCTTCTTACAAATCCAAATCCTCCTATTAATTTAAGTTCAGGGATAATGTTTTTTTTTTTTTTTTTTAGCAATTTTTATTTATCAGTACTCATTTTCAAAATGGAAAGCGGACCCAGTGGGGTGATGAGAAGAACAATTTCATTAATATTTTCTATAAACAAATATGAGAAATAAGAAACATGTTTCAAATTCCAAAACTCATAAGACACTTTTAAACATGTTTGGTTAAAATTAAGACAAAAGACGAAAACTCATACACAAGATCCGAGCTCGAATGGTAGAAAGTAAGGCAAAACAATTCTGAAAATCATGTATAAATAACCCTAAGAAGTAACAGGAGTTTTCATCGTGACTGGATGGATTTAATCTTCACTTAGAAATCTTGAAACATACACAAAAGAAAACTCGAACCATAGACGACTCTCAACTGTTTCAGACCTGGCAAATCAATGAACACAAGGGGCAACAGCAGTGGTAATGAGGCAAAATTAATCAGAACTACACGGATTTCTTACAGGCTCTAAAGATTTACCACAATCAGGAAGCATTTCTTGTTCAAATTAAGGGCGCTTCTAACAGTTACCTTACCAACTTGATAATTGCTTATATGGCAAATCATCGAAGACCAGAACACGCTATGTCGGAGCAGTAATATCGAATGCAGTACTATTTAGTTGCAGCCATCGAGTTTCAAAGAAGCCCTCTTCTTCTCTTGTAGTCACTAACAGTCAGTGTCAGTGCATGCCGCCTCCCATCGTTCTCAGGGACTTGACGTCCAACTGTGGCTTCTATCTGCTGTTTCCTTGCTAAGAACCCAGCCTGAGCTCCCATGGGTCCACCAAATTTCTGAAGCACAGCCAATGATATAGGCAGCTCAAAGTTGTGCAGCGAGTTTGATTCTGTACCTCCATCTACAGGAGCATTAGTATCAACCAACTTTCCAGCCCCAGCAGCAGCTTCCAAAGCCGCTGCTGTAGCTGCCATGCCAGCTTCTGCAGTCCGACCAGATCCTGTTCTGTTAGTCTCTGATGCAGGCATTGCGTTATCACTGTTGCCACCTGCTTCCGCAGCCCCATTGGCTTCACCAGCGTTTCCAACATAGTAATTCCTTGACCTGGTCCATCTCCTTGAGAAGGGATCGTAACCGGCCTCTCCAGCTTTCAAGTCTTTCAAGGGTCTTAGTTCTGATGCATTTTTGAAGTTCTCCACCCTGTTCTTCCTGTTCATCTCAACTAACCTAATTGCCTTGGTATCTTTCATCTGCAACCTCCTGGATGCCTCTAATTGCTGCAGCCTTGCCTTGATCCTCTCAACCTCAGATTCATCATTTTTGCTTAGTGCTACGTCCATCTCTCTCCTCAGCCGGTCCTTCTCAGCTGCAATATTTAATGGCCTTGATGAAGCAGATTTTTTGTCTCGCAACATCTGCTTCACTGTGGCCGCTGAGTAGACAAAGTTGTTGGCTTTCTGTATAGCTTCCTTCTTTTCCAATACATCCTGCCTGCTCAGCATCCGACCATTAGTTCGCTCTACCTCCTTAAGCCACTGTTTATATTCATCCTCAAGTGGTGCAGAGTCCGATACCATAGCCATCTGCCACCTGGCAGCAGAACTTTCGTTTCCCCAAATAACATTAAGATATTTATGTGTGATTTTGTTCTCTAGCTTATACTGACGATCAGGTTCTGTTGCATCAACATTGCGCACCAAGCAGAGCCGGTAGATAGACCCGGATCTTGATCTCCCGATTCCAACTCTCACAAAGCACCCAACTATCAACTCCTCAAAGAATGGTTCCATTAACCATTTTGCAAGCTTTGATCTACGAATAGTAATTTCCTTGATATCCTCAAATGTTGGCCCTTTTAAACCAGACATGGATCTTTCATCATCACTGTCAACCATTCCGCCATCTCCTGTAGACTCTTCATCTTCACTTTGAAACCTACTTTCACTTTCACTTGAGCTACTCAAACTAGGAGCAGTGAAGGGCTTTCGTTTTGTCGGTGAGAACCTTCGATTATTAGTGTTCCCTCTAGATGCATCTCTCAATTTACGATGAGCTTCTGGATCCTGCTGTTTCAACCTTTTTGCACGCAATTCATTTAAAGCATCATCTTTTGCAGCGGCTCTATCAGCAGATCTAGCAGACGATCTAATACGCGATGATGGGAGAGGTAAGGTCTCTTTCCGAGATGGAGCAGTCTTCCCTTTATCCTTCTTAGCTCTTAAGCTTTCATATAAATGCTTATCATTCTTCTTTGACGCTCTGTCTGAAAGAATCATCTCCCTTTGAAGTTCAGACATACCAGCAAGCTTGCGCCTGTCATCATCATCTTTATAAAGATCATCCCCAACGTCAGAT